TCGTCTTTGGTCCCTCTGTTATCTTCTTACGCGAATCAAGAAATTAGTGTGTGTGTGTGTGTATATGTATATATATATAGAGAGAGAGAGAGAGGGAGTGTACAGTGTATAACATACATTTCTGTTCTGTTAGCGGACCCGGTCCGGTCTATGATGTGCATTATATGTGTATATACGGAAGATACTCTGTACATATGTGGATATGTATTACTCTAGACTCTGGACAGAGAAATGAATCAAACTCTTATAATAATATTGATTTGATAACAACACTACTATCTTTGAAAGACTTAAATGAATAAAGATTTTTCGTATAATGAAGTTGGATAAGATTTTAAAAAGAAGTTGGATGAGTTGAGAGTTCCACCAAGATGAAGTTGTTCGCATTTTATGATTGCCTTTTTTTTATCTTCGTTAACCTCAAGCGTACTGAATTAATCAATATAAATAATCAAATTAAAATTTATATATTTTGTAATTTCTTAATTTAATTTTAGATGGAAAGAATTAAAAACAAATTTAATTCGCATCATGAATTAATTAATGTAAGAAAAAACTCATTGAAATCTATTTCAGGAACTATATAAATATCATTACAGCAGCAACCAAGTTAATTAACGAGGTAGCTCCGGGATACAATAACAAACTATTAGGTGCTAATATAATCTAATCTGATTAAAACGTTTAAGTAATCGACGAGATGTAAAGTCCTGAAAAGTACTAGATAACAATTTAACATCCTCCCGAAATTAAACCAAATTATATCAAGGTATGCATACCCAAATTCAAAGAAACAATTTCTATCAATTTAGGCAGTCTTGTGTAAATATTGTTGCGATCAAACGTACATTCCAATCAGCATGCTGAGGGAGAAGCAAATCCGCGTTTTCTTGGGCTAGGCTATCACCACCATCCTAAGCAGATTTCCTCCTTTTTCCCGAATCTCTTCTGACCAGCTGATCCTCTTCGTTTTCCCCACAGTTTCTGGAATAATGGTTTCCGGTGGGCTCACCTTATCCATTCTGGTAATTTGATGCTAACCTCTCTTCTTCGCTGAGACATCATTGATTGGCATGTCTGCATTGAAATCCTTGGGACCAGGGTTCGTGCAGGCTAGAGGTTTGAAGTTCAATGGAATAATCAATGGAATCCTTAGAGAACTGGAGATCTGTAGCTGTGTGGGATGAGCTGGCTTAATAATGGTTTGGGCTGTTTAATGGCTTGGTTGCAGAGAAACCCCAAGAACTCCCATGTGATTGTACTTCTAATTCTTTTTAAACTACCATTTTAATCTAATTCAAATTAAATTTTCATGTTTTAATGTTAAAAATAAATGTAAAAACTAAAATTTAAAAATATATTATATGAGATTAACCTTTTTAATTTCCAACATGCTGCCAAACAAAATAGGAGAGAGTACAAAAAGCAAAGAAGGGTATTAAATTCCAAACTTACAATCCAATTTACAGCCAGTCCTCAATGATTTGAGTTGTTAAATTTATACAAGTTCAAGAAAAAAATACGCCATGCTTCCTTTTTTCTCTTTTTTTTCTCCATTTTTGGGACTTCCCTCATTCAAAACTCCATATTTACAGCTTGGTAAGGCAAATATTTCTGTCTTGGAAAACTCCTTCCACCAATTATCTAAAAATTGCTACTGTGGAAACATCCCAAAGATAGAAACATATATTTATGCTCTTATCACAAGCTCATACACGTTACTATTGTTATCCCCACTAACGCGCTTCAACATTTCAAAGCTCTTCCGACTTCCCAAGAAGTCTATTCGTTTGAAAGTCACATGTCTGGACACTGCTGTCTCTTTACTGCTGTACATTGCTCGAAGACGATCAGCATGCCTTGAGTCGGTGTGAATAGCAGCCTCTATTTCATGAGTAGTCATGTTCTCCTTCATGAGTACACATGGACAGAAGTAAGATAAATTATTCTTCATAAAACAAAGGATAAGCTCTACAAATCACCCAAATGCAAACAAATTGTTTGATTCAACAGTCTTTCTTATGTCTATTGAAAAAAGCAGCATATCAGAATGAAGTTACATAGTTGCTTGAACTTGTCTCCCATGCATTTCTTCTTGAGGCATTTGAAGTCTGATGTGATAATAGCTTAATCATTCTTTCAATGGTACAATTACAAGCATCCTCGGGGGTAAGTTAAAATGAAATTAAAAAAGAAAGGAACAATGTCATTGAGCAGCTAAGAGAAAGTGAAGCAGAAGTCTAAAACACGGGCGTATATACGACCCACTTCTTTTCCAGTAGAATTCATATATTTAATACTCGATGGTTTCCTTCAACCATCCCTCCCACCTCTTTTAAATCCTTTTGTCTCCTTTCTCTCTACACTCTCCCTGGGTTTTTTGGTTCTTCCTTTCTTCCCTTCATTTCCCTCATTTGGTTTTTTACATTCATTCCCTACTTTTCACTTTGATACCTATAAAACCAGCCTGTAGTGGGTCCCAACTCTCTTGGTTGTAAAAGATTGGTTTCTAGTTGTTTGTCAGTGCCAATGTATAAATAATAGATGTTCTGTTGGTATTTGTGTATGGCTAATGAGGAAAGCTGTGTGCATGTTCTGTTGTGGTGTCCTGTGGCTTTTGGGTTGTGGAGTGCTCTTTATAGTATGATTGGAGTTAGTTGGGTGATGGCTGGGTCTATTAGGGAGGAATTGTGGGCTTGGAAATGATTCAATTACAAAGAAATTTGAAAAATCTCATTTCGTTATCCTTGTTTTGGATTCTATGAAAGGAGAGAAATTCTAAAGCTTTTGAGGGTAAAATAAATGATTTGTATAGATTGATAAATAGATGAATGCATTATTTTGAGTTTTTATTATTAGGGTATTGAAATGATTAGTAATGTGGATTTTAAGCATGTCATTGATTCACTAACAACATTGTAAAACTTTTGTATAAAGGTGGTACTTCCGGTTGTTTGGTACTATGTTAATATATTTTTACACTTTTTATTTCAAAAGAAAATGTATAAATAATAGATTTAATATCTTTATCAAGTACAACTTTTGAAAAAAATTGTTTTACTGTATTATTAACAAGAAGTTTTTCAAGTATACCTAAAAAGTATAAATCATAGCCCCAAGTATCTCATTCAACAATAGCCTTCTTTGGGGGTGGTTGTTAACACTTACCTACTATTATTTGTTGGTTTTTCCTACATCAAGATATCTGCAAATTTACATGTTCTGTTTCTATGCTATCAAGGCCATGTTTGGAAGAAAAGAAATTTATTTGTGGAATTCTTCTTTTCTTTATAGAAGAAGAAATATATCAGTAAGGAAAAAATGAAGAATGATACAAATAAGGAAGATTAGATATCCTCACTGAAATAAAAACTCTAATACAAACAAGCAAAAATGCTAACTATTCTGCAGAAAGAATGGCTAACAAATTTCTATACAAACAAAAAAAAAAGATTACTCTTTTAAAGTTTCTAGTGTTTTAATCAAGCTAAATTACCCAAAGCCCAGCAAAAACACTACAGCTTTCTGTAATATGCCACTACTGTGAGATTTATAGTTAAATTATACTGTCTTACACTATTAATCATAAATGCTTTATAAAAAATTAAGATAATCAAAATCTCACCGCTAGGAGAATATTGAAAAAGTCACAAAATTTGACTTTAAATAATCAAACTATTAACTGTAATTTGCTCTATAATAAAATGCAACTTTCTGAAAAACTATTGGCATTACTTAGCGTAACTTACTGAGAAACTTCAGGATACTGTAATATTAAAAAAAAGAAAAGAGAACTATGGAATTTAACTTCAAAGAAGGCTAATCTACAAGGAACCAAACAAGAATTTGCTCCAAATTTTTTGTACTGGCCATCTAACCAATTATTAGACAGTATCTTGTTGGTCTACAAGCATATAAAAAAATGCATGCCCTCGTAACCAAAAAAAATCCAGTAGTAGCACAAACATTAAAAACCTGCGAGTTAAATTAAAATAGAAATTATTAAAATCAACAGACAAAACAATTATTAAATCATACCTGATAAAATGTGTAGATGTAATCTAACACCTGGAAGCATGTAAAACCATTGTCGCTGAAATATGTTCGTGAAGAAGGCCCCATCTCAGCAAATCGATCAGTGGGAAACAATATTGTCAGAAAGTGGTTTTTGAATATCAATTCAGTTTTCTCACTGCAAGCAAGCACCGTAAAAACTATAGGCAATGAGGTTGGCTCCATCAGATAAAAACAATTACTGATGTAGGACATTATTTCATTCTAGCAGATAACAAAACAGCATGACAAAGAAACAACATAAACCAAGTAAGATTTTGCCATTAAACTTGTTTTCTGGATAACATGATCCTGAAGATCCATTTCGTTTTAGATTCTTGAAACCAACTAATCTCTTCTTTAAATCAGCAACTCCTCTAAATATTTTTAAGAAAAGACAGGATAAGTAATTGATCATCGTTAAGGGCTTATCGATGAGCTATATTATATTGTTGTTGATTTTGAAGGAAAAAAATATTATTTCTCACCCTTTAAGTTGGTACACCTAATATATTTATAAAATTCTTAATTTATTAATAAAGAAATTACTATTTTACTAAATTCCAATTACATAATATTACTATTATAGAAGAATTTTAATTACATCATAATAAATTAATAAAATAATTAAATAATAACATATAATAGTCAACACCCCAGCTTAAGTTGGTGCAGGAATATCACACGTGTCCCAACTTGCAAACCAAGTTCTAAAGAGTCATTCTGCAATTTAACAATACCAATGGATGCCCAAAAAGTGCTGCAAACTGGAATCAGATCTGTCAGACAGCAACTCAGCTTGGGTCGGCTTAAAATGGCTCGGATCGGCATAAAACAGCTTGGGTTAAGCTCAAAAAAGTTCAGACTACGCTAAAATAAAATCTCAAGCTTAGCTCAAAAAAAAACTTGAAAATGGCACAAACTCGACTCAAAAACAGCTCGACCTCGGCTCAGGCTTAATTCATATCGGCTCGACTCAGTCAGGCACAGACGGACCAGATCGGATTGGTCCCAGTCGTGCACCACTCTGCCTTCTTCCACCTCTCCACCAAGCTTCTCCGGCCTGCTTGACCACTCGTTTTCTGGCTCCACACGGCTAGGGCTTCTTTAGATCTCGCTACGTGCGGGCACAAGCAGATAGGGTTTTCTGCCGCACGGTTTGTTTTCTTTCACGCCGGCATGCACCTGCAACCAGATTGCACTCTTCATCTAGTCTTCTGCCACATGCAAATCTAGTCATTGTTCACGGAATCGGCTATTGTCTTTGGCCCCTGTGAATCACCGCACGATTCGCCTCCTCCGGACAAAGCAGTCGTTTCGTCTTCCGCCGCCAGACACTGCTGCTTCTGGTGTTAAGGGAGAGACCAATTCTGGTGTTGAACAGACAACACCTCTCTTCCTCTGATATGATTCTCTCTAACCCAAGTTGGGAGGAGGATGGTGGTGAGTCTCCGACACTAGATCTGGATAAATAGGTACCAACCCAACCTATTGTCCTATTTTAAGGTTTGAAAAAAATCTTGAAATTAGATATTTAAAATAATTTTATTTAGCTCTGATATCATGTTGATTTTGAAGAAAAAACATAATTTTATTTCTCACCCTTGAAATTTTTACACCTAAAATATTTATAAAAAATTTTTAACCTATTAATAAGAAAATTACTATTATACTAAAGTCTAATTACATGATATTACTATTATATTAGAACTCTAATTACATCATAAAAAAATAATAAAATATGGTAATCAAGAGTTGTCAATGGGAGAAATCTCCTCAATTATTGTTTTTTCTTTATAATACGGCTTGGAGAATTTGTTACCTCTTGTTTTATACTTTTGCTGTTTCTTGAGCTTCACTAAATACAATTTAGGGCCTCCTTTCATTTGTATTTTTGGTTCCAAATCAAAAAAGAAAAGATAAAAAAAGCTCTTTGGTGCAATGCTTTCTTTTATGGGATATGGGTTATTTGACTTGAGAAAAGTGCAAAACTTTTTAAGAATTACTCTCACCAATATAATCTTTTCGAGAAAGTTATCTTTCTTAGCTTCCCTTTGATCTAAAGCACATAGCCTTTGTCTAATAATTGTGTTAGGAAGCTAGCTCACCAAAGGGAAAATAAGCAAGGAAAGTAAGAGATCAGGGTAGGAGCGCAGTAAGAAAGATAGTGCTGGCAACAAGGAATCATATTGGGCTCAGGGGAAGAAAGTGAAACAAGAAACAAAATATCGGCACTACTTAGGGTTTACAAACAGTGAGCCAAACATGCGTCAACATATGAAGAGAAAAAGAGGCATGCATCGGCCATCGAGTGAAGAGGGTAAAAAAGTCTGTATTTGTGATATGTGAGTCAATAAGGATACGTGGCAAAAGATCAGGAAGCATATTTAAGGGGAAACGATTAGGTTAGGTTAAAAGAATGGGGCTAGAACCTCACTCATCATCTAGGGTTTATTCTGCCTCTCAGGTTCTCTGGTGCATCTCAGGCAATTTATGGCGATTTTATTCCTGTCAAGTTTAAATATCTATATCATGTAAATTTCAGCATGGATATTGAGTATATTTTCATCATATCTCTTTTCCTCTAGGCATCTTTCATCTTCCTTATCTCTTTATCTCTCATTTCTTTCTGATCTAACATTCTTCTTCATTTGGTACTTAATAATCGAGTACATGTCACAAGTACCTGACAACTAGGTGTCAAAGCATATCGATCTCGAGGAAACCCTTACAAGCTTTGTGGCTATGGCGAAAAGCAAAGGAAGGTTGTGTTAAACGAACCACAGAAGCTGCAAACCCTAAAAGATAATGTAAGAGCTATCGATCAGAAACTCTTGGACTTCATGTTTGAGATGTACGACTCTCAATGGCACACTAGGGCATTCTTTGACCAAAGGTTGGCGCCCTTTGAATAAAGGTTCAACCAACAGATATGTTTCGAAGAGATGTACTACTGGGTCAGTCATCACTAAAGGTGAGCCATTTCTCCTCTATACAGAATACGGATAAGTGTTTGCTTCTCACTCCTAAGCCAAGAGATGTTGGGGGCGCTTGCATGCAAAGCTCGCGGGGTAATTCATTGGGGAACCCTACACCGAAGGTGGATGTTTCTATCTTTGAGGGTCAAAACCTTTGAACTTGGATTAGACGATGTAAAAAATATTCTTATGTATACAACATAGTAGAGGAAAATAAAGGAGAAACAACATCTCTAAACTTCAGAGACCAAGCAAAAACTTGGTTTCATGGGGTAGCTAACAACCATGGGATGTTAGAATGGGAAGTATTTGTTGAAGAACTATGTAAAAAATTTGGAGGTCTAGTAGGAACTAATATTATAGAGGGGTTTAACTAATTAATACTAGAGGGCATTATAATCAAATATCAAGAAAAATTTGAGAGCTTTGTGGCTATGGAGAAAAATAAGGGGACGGCCATGGTGAGCGAATCATAAAAGCTGCAAACCTTAAAAGATAATATGAGAGAGGTCAACCACAAACTCTTGGACTTCATGTCTGAGATATATAACTCTCAATGGCAGACTAGGGCATTCTTCCACCAAAGGTTAGCACTCTTCGACCAACGGTTCAACCAGCTAACAAAGATGTTGCGAGGAGGTGCACGTTTGGGTGAGTCATCAACTAAAAGTAACATATTCCTCCTATGTACAGGCTACGGATAGGGGTTTTTCCCACACACATGCAAAAAAATGTTGAGGATAGTTGCATGCAAAGCTTGCAGGTAATCCATCGGGGAATCCTACATCGAAGGTGGATATTCCTATATTCAATGATCAAAACCTCAGAACTTGTATTAGACAATATGCAAAATATTTCAATGTACAAAACATAGTAGAGGAAAATAAAGTAGAAACAGCATCTCTATACTTAAGAGACAAGGCAGAAATTTGATTTCATGGGGTAGCTAACAACTTTAGGATGTTGGAATGTGAAATATTTATTGAAGAACTTTATAGAAGATTCGGGGGTCTAACAAGAATTGATATTATAAAGGAGTTTAACAAATTAACATAAGAGGACACAGTAATCAAATATTAGAAAAAGAAAAATTCGGAGATGCCGATAATTGCTTTTCATTGAGAAGTCGAGACTCTCAGAGAGATATTTTATCTCCAGTTTCATCAGTGGATTAAGGGAAGAGCTTCGACCAGTAGTAAGAATGCACAAGCCACTTAATTTGGATCATGCCTTTGAGCTAGTTTTGTGCCAAGAACAGGCTGTTGAAGCTATTAGCAGCAATAGAAATAGGCAAATGACCACTTAACCAAACATTTCAAAACCCCAATACCCAAGCCTGAATCTAAAAGGGTTCATTGTGAATACTGATCAGCTATCCAAAGCTTCTAATCTATAGAAAATTCAACCAGGGAGAACCCAAATTCATTATGAAAATAAACGTAGCAAATTATGTTACTGTTGTTGGGAAAAATATTTCCCTAAGCATTAGTGTAAACTAAAAACAATGATGGCCATTGAAAAATGTGAGGAGAAACCCTATGACAAGCGATTGCAATGTGTTCCTCAGGTGGTACAATGAAGATCAGAGACTTACTTAACAATAAAGTCATCATGATACTGTTAGATAGTGAGAAATCATTATTCTTTTATGAATACTTTGGGTGGGCGAGGGCGGCGGGTGTGTGTGAGGGAAGATGGTGGTTTACAACAAGCCTTTCACTATACTGGTGGCCTAACAGTCATAAAGTAACCAATGAGGGAGAATGTGCGGGAGTTCAATGGAGAATGCAGAACTATGAGATTTGTTATAATCTCATAATATTTTCTCTTAGCAACTGTGACATGATACTTGGGATGAACTGGATGAAAATGTACAATCCAATTATCTTTGACTTTGCAGAGTCAAACAAGAGCAGTAAATTGGAAGGTAAGAAAATCACCTTGCCAGGAGTCAAGATCTTTGACAAATCGACTCAGATAATAGAAGAAGATAGTACTAGGGCCATTTTATTGCCTTTAGTCTCTTGTACACTTTATTGCCTTCTCTAAGTACAAGTTGCTACGGAAGGCCTTGATTGTATTTCTTAAGCCATACTTGATGTAAAGTTCTATGCTATTACACGAAACTTATCCATGAAGTTGTTCAACCAGTGATAGTCATTCCATGGAAAAATTTAATATTCTTACCTCCTTACTTATTCCAAAAAATTCTAGAATGACACCCCTCCCCTCCATTTTTGCAAGTTTACTTCTCTCCCTTTAACCTTCTAATAGCCCTGAAGAAGACTCCTTTATCTCAAGCTCCTTGATCTCACAAGTTGTCTACCCTCAGCCTTCAAGTTTTGCTGAACAAAGACAAGTTTTTTGGCCACTTTGGATCTAGTGAAGCCTTCAGAATTAGTCTATCAAAACATGCATGTATCGTATGACCAAAACTCTCCTCTTAAAACTATTTGTTCTCAAACTGAAATAAAGAGAGCCCCCTTTGAATACTATGAATATCAAGACAAATAGAAAAATAATCATAGATAACAAAGGCATGGCTTTTAGGCTATATTCAGCACCTTACCTTTAAATTTGGAGTTCACCACGAACCCACTAATTTTGGAGAAAATTCAATTCTCTCTAAGATTTGACTAAGTCTATTTACCACCTACTAAAGGAAGGTAGAAGAGGCTTAACTTGTTCATAAAATCCCTAGATTCTCTAATCCAGGTATTAATACTCTCCCAACAAATCTCTCAAACATATCAAGGACCATATTAAAATTACCCCCGATAAGTTAGGGTATGTCCCATGAGTCAGGTGGCGTTGAGCTTCTATCTTTCTTGTCATTCCTATAATGCCCTTGGCTAAGGTTTACAAGGAGAGACTTGTCGATGGACCTGAGGATCCATTAGATCTTCTCAAAAAGGAGGCTTTGATTGTGGGTCTCGGTAAGCTCCGTCTGGACAGCCCAACTTCAGCCTGCAGATGAGCCATTTGGTTGCCCATCCTATTTTGATTTTTAAATCTCTCCTTGTTAAATCGTACAATAGCAGTCGGGATACCACTAGTACGAAATATTTACCATCTACCTTCTCCTCCTTACAATCAGACTAATGACTAATATTCAATGACAGCAGAAGCAAGAGAAGACACTCTTGACGCCAACTGCACCGCCGAGAGAGCTGTTAGTTGCCATGGCTGCCATGATTTCCATCTTCACTAGAGTAACTGCATCTCCCTCCAGCGGAGCATCAACTCCACCACTCTGAAGATTTGCTGCCTCGTCATTTGACCAGCAAGGACTTGCCATCACTTCCTTTCTTCCTCAATGATATCTAGGTTACAAATTGAACTGACTTCCAAAAAGAATCTCCACAGATTTGGTTCCTTCAGGGATGAGCAGTCCCGGTAACCCTCTGTATTCTTCTACTTGAGCCTTAGGGATCTATCTCTTCATTCCCAGCTTGATGAAGATGGAATGATCAGCTCTCTTGAAAATCCTTTTCCAATACTTATGACTTCTAATCCAAAACTATTCACGAGAACTTAAAGAAGAATCACCTGATCTCTTGGTCAAGAAAAAGGAAGGAAAAATTTTTATTAACATCATTCTTGGTGATTCTGAGAATATCTTGAATTTCTCCTCTAAACTACATTGAAGGATTCCCCTCAATCACCAGGAACTTCCTGTGGAGAAAGAAGGGACATAGCATCAGCACAGCTAGGTAGATAGAAAGATAGAGAGAGATAGAGAGAGAGAGAGGTTTACACCAGTTAGCTATTCTGTCAAAACATAAGTCGACCTTTTTTTTCTTTTGGTGAGGATTTCTTATCCTCATGTTTGTACCTTTCTTCTTTACCCCTTTCTCAATAATGTTTCTGTTTTTTTCTAACCAAAAAGAATAGTTCCACAGATCAGTGATAGCAATATATTGATTATAAGTTACCCGAAGAGATCAATGATCAACTGATAATAGAAGCCAAGTTTGAATTAAGAATTAGCATAGAGAATTGCATTTAAAGCACCGAGGTTTTTCAGATTATGCATAAATCTGTCGATATTTTAAAACTGCACAGAGAGTCCAATTTTACCAGAAATTATGCACTTAATCACCTTAAGCATCAGGAAACCAAATGACAGCAAGCTAATTAGTGGAAAGAGAATGGCTGCAGGGCATCAGATGGCAAAACGAGGACTACATTCATGGCTCTCTGCTAGCATTTGATCAGCATGAGTTAATTACGTTTGCAGGAAACGTTTGAAGTATTTTAGAAAATGATAATCTCTTTTAGTATTGAGAAGCAACATTGTGACATGGTGAAAGGAAACTAGTTGGAACATATCGCAGAAAATTTATTATTTGTTATTACATAAAACTTCTCTACCAATTAAAAAAATGAAAAGGTTTCTACATAATGTAGAAAAATTCAGGGGTAATGCAATTTATCCAATTAAAAACTATGGTCAAACAACTAAAATTCACGTCCAGCACCAAAAAAAAATCTCAAAAAGAGATAAATAGATAGATAAATAAATAGATATATATATATATATAGAGAGAGAGAGAGAGAAAGAACCTTTCAGTGAGTCGCCTGGTTAAGTTTGCAAATGACGCTTCTGAATCCCTCCCATCCCCTTTTGCATCAAAGAATATAGATGTATGATGTTCACTTGCACCATCATTACTGAGAGAATCTGTGTAGATAGAAGCAGTTGAAGCTGGCTCAGATACTGTCCAGCAGATAGAATCCAGAAGACTGCTTGGGGTTATTGGTCGAATTGGGGTCTGACAAGTCTGTAGAACAACATCATCACAAAGTAGTCAGCCCATTGTACAGTGTTATAAATATAACCTCACCTGATACAAGCAGCATTGCTAAAGATCTTTCCACTGCAAAATTCTCCTACTATAAATAAGACAATCAAATTGGGAATTCATAGGTCAAGACAACATGATACAATCAAGGCTAAAAACACTCAATATACTTAAAGAACATCAAAAAGTGATTTAGAGCAAATTTCAAATGACATAAACACAAATAGAGTTCCAAACCTAAAAAGTTTCAGCGAACTAGTAATAAGATCAAAGGCAAAGAAACTTAAAAAGTTGCTCCAAGTTTTTATTCAAAAACATGTAGATGATAGGCTGGCCAATTGTGGAAAGTTCAAATATGAACTTTTTGAACAGCCCAAATTCGTAACTTTAATTGCCTTTAAATGATTTGGGATAATTTGAACTTGTTTGAGTCTTATTGGTAATGGGTGAATAAGCCTTATGTATGGGCTGTATTAGTTGAATTGTTTTAAATATTTTGGATTCTTTTATTTTATTTTGAGTTAATTAAGCTCATATAGTCAAGTGTAACTCATTTGGGATTAAGTCTTGTATTAGTATTATTAGAAGAATGAGTCCATAACTATATGGTGTCACAAACAATTAATGGTGTTGGTTAAGAATATTAGAGTTACAAGGAGTTACATAACAATTACATGCCTATAATTAGTCTACTTATTGTTGGAGTTACAATTGTAATTATCACATAATTAGCCTATTTATTGTAGGAGTTACAATTGTACTTATTGTGTTGTAATTTATCATTGATTTTTTTGGCTATAAATACCAAAAGAACTCTTCTTTGTGGACATCAAGAGTCGTAATCAAATATCTCATAATTGAGTTAAGAGTGTTTTGGCTTTCTTTTCACTTTATGCACAAGGTGTTGATTTGGAATACAATTGTTATCACTTGTATTTCAATTTTGATTTCCTATTTCAATTGTTCTTGATGCTTGTTTGGATTGGGTTCAAGGGATATCATTTATCTTTCTTAGGTTATATTTAATTTCTACCATTTGGGTGATTGAACGAATTTGATTCTTTTTTACTTGTAATCTAAATTCTGTTATAAACCAATTGAAAAATTTTAAGGTTCAAGTAAGGGTCTTGGGATTCCGCATCACAACATATGGCCAAAGGAAATATAAATCAGCGTAAGCAACAACGCCAATGTTTTATATTACACCTACTAGATTTGATATCAAAAGTCCAACCATCAAATTGCATGCTTGGGAGATTAAAAGAAATTATTTCCCTCTCCAAAATCATGTTTTCATTTATTTCATATTCAACTTAAACTACAAACAGAAAAATTTCTGAACTACGTAGCAAAACCCTTTTTAGTCGCAAATGAGGCAAGGATAAAACAATATTGAAGAGCATAATATGAAAATTTTTAAATATATGAATCAAGCGCACGGATAATATCAATCCCTAATAATAAGAACAACCAAGTTCACTAACTTGCCTGCATTCGACGACCACGACGGTTTCTAACCCCAATTTTTGCAAAATTTACAATATGTTGCCTTTCTTCATGGGTTGCTTTGGTCATAAAGCTCTTTGCATCTTGAGGGACATTCTCCCCACTAACCTCCTGGAAAAATAAAGAATAATAAACACAGTAGAAGATCATAAAGAATACATATAATTGGTAATTATCTGACTAATCAATGCAACTGGAAAATTTAGCTTGCAATTGAAATATCCTACTTCACTAAACAATTAGGATAGATTATAACCAAACATATATTCGCAAAAGCAAAGCATCAAAAGCTACCTCCTCAATAGTGCAACTTTGAAGATTTTCAAGCTTCATTCCGACCTGCCTTGCCAGATCAGCAGATATGTGAACAAGCCTCCGTGCATACCTCTCTTTCACCGTTTTCAGAACCCAGAGTGGCTTAAAAACACCACCATTTCCAATAAATCCACAGTAATAAAAAAAATAAAACAGGCAACTGCTTGATCTCAATCACATGCAACATTATCTTTTCTGTTAGAAGTGACAATAGTGAAACAAATACAAAGCACTATGCATACCAAAATTTATCATCATTGGACACCCAAAATTAGCCCTTTCATAAGACTCATATGCCCCTGAGAAGCATGCATGAAAACATAATCCAATGCACAAACATAATCCAATGCAGAAGCACTCACTGTAACAAGATAGCTGGTGTGGCCAAGATATCTTTGGACAGAAGTCCCTTCACAAACTATATAACTCACACTGCAGCCCACAGACCATTGATCCACAAGCTTCGCACCTTCCTTAGCAGCAGCCTCCAAAACCTACAAAAGAAATTAATAAATTGCTTCAGAATAGCACTCCAAGAACTGGCTTCCAAGTGAGCTTAAACAACTATGAATCATGTAACTCCTCAAATGAAAATTCCAGACGAATATAATTTTACTGGTGTTCAGTACCACAACAGAAGGCACCACGTTTTCAGCACTAAAGTTTCAGAAGGAAACAATAAATTTCTGGCAAGGAATTCAATATTACCTTACACTGCAATTCATCTGAAATATCTGAATCCACATATAGAGATTTTCCAGACAAAGTTAAATCCTTACTTATACTGGATTCTTTTCCAGAAAATCGTAGATGCGATTTCTCCATCATGTCAACTTGTTTGGCTTCATGAATACCACTAGGAAGACATGAATAATCACTACCGCCGAACCCAACCAACTGATTTAGCTCATCCATATGCATACCATTTTCTCCAACATTCTTGACAGCATACAGAGATTCACTCAACCTAACTGGAATAAATGACACAACAGTTCCAATTCTTAGTAATTGACTCATTAAATGCTTGAATTTCCATTATTTTAAAAACTAAACAACACAATATTGTCCTTTTAAAGCTGTATAACAAAGAGCTTATGTAAACTCTGTTTGTTCATCCACAATACTCCTTAGAAGACAGCACTGCTCTCAGGTAAATGATCAAGGAAATTTTAGAAATGGAATCCAGCAGTTGCAGTCGATAAATTATTTTCTGCACTAATAAATTTTATCCCAAAATGTAAAAGTTATATGAATTGGGAATATTGAAATGTTAGGAGCAATAGTTCCCAATGCAAAAGAATATTGGTTTCATGTTATGACTGCTACAGCATTAGTTCTACCTATTCCTCACAATCAGCCACCTCGGCAGCTAGAGAAAGCAAGAATTATCACTTAGATTTGATGTTGATGGTTAATGAATGTGGAATTCATGAGAGTTCCGTTTGGATTTGGATATTAGACAGAGATGAGTGTTTCTCTCTTCTTGACTCTTTATTCTCCTGTTGCTTGTCATTGCTTGAGATAAATTCTTGATTTACTCGTTGGATGCCTAAAGCATGATAGAAGAATGCTAGAATATGTAACAACTTGGGAAAGAAATGGATAGAAATGATGATTGATGTGGATGATACTGTTGAAGATTCCTAAGGAAAAAGAAATAGTTTGCTGTCTATTTATGCATGATGATGATAGTTGGTTGGATTAAGGACTCTAGTTTGCTGTTATTTTCATTCTGATACTTTCCATTTTTTTTTGCTTTGTTACGTGATTAGTATTTAAGTATTTATATTAAAATTCATATGCCACTTAGCTATATTTCCTTTAGGAATCTTCAATACTCATATGATGTGGTACTGTTACTGATGTGGAACCCAGAATCAAATATTGTGATAAAAAATCCTGCATATAACATTAATATTTAGAACTATAAAACACTCAACAAATCCTTCCAACTTAACCCATCAATTTATCGAAAATTATAAACAAAAAAAATTGAGATAATTTGAATCGATTAAAAACACCACAAGTACGAACTTGATAAGTTAGAAATCAATTCTAAAAAAATATTGATAAAACACCACAAAAAGTTATCTTGATAAGTTAAATCAATCATCCACTCAACAAGATGGTTAAAAAATTTTCTCAAAGAGTAATCATTATAGCATAAACTAAAGCAAACTTTACTTTTATTAATTTGGTATAATTGATGAATTAATTACAACTTAAGAGTGGTGTCCTATATAAGCATTCACCTTAAATATTTGAATAAAACTAAAAAACTAGAATCCTAATTAAATTTCTTAATTTAACTTAATTTAGGAAAGAATTAAAATAAGCAAATTATTAAAACATAAACTCTTATGTCTTGAGATGAAAGAGTATCATGGTTGAATTCTCCATGCTTTATTTGACTTGGATTTGATTTTTAATATTTAATTAATTCTCGTGATAAAAGTTGAGCTTATAGATGCTTGGAAAGCTTCCATGTTGAAGTATAAAACAATTCTTCTTTCATGAGAAAATCAATAAGAAAATCCAAAGGAAAATCTAGGAAAAAATCTAGGAGAAAATATAGAAAACAATCTAAGTGAAATCTGGGAAAAAAATATAAAACATAATCCATGAAAAAAGATCTAAAAAATAATCCAACATTATCCACGAGAAAATTAAGGATGAAAATTTGGCTAGGAATCTTTCAGCCAAATTCACCTTGAATTCTTCTTACTTCATTACTTGATGATTTGTCAATCCATTTGAAGTAGAATTCCTATAGTTCATTAATTTAGTTAAAACTCTATTAAAAAAGGAATCCCAATTTGTCTTTAGCTCGGTCACCAAAAAGAAGAAAAGTAAGAATTCTCCCTCGGGTAGGATTCTCGCACAGGTGGGAATTCTTTCCCCTCTAGAACTCTTCTTGTGAATTCTTTTCTTTTTAGGATGCTTTCTTAGTTCTCTTCTAGGACTCTTCGTCTTAACCACAAGTAGACTTCTCCTTAGTATGGAATTCTTCATGAAATTCAATGTTTTGGGCATGGACTCTTCATGGGGGAGAGAGATCCCATGCGGGGGGGACTCTTTCTTTCCTTCACCTCACGAAATTCTACTTAGACTTTCAGGTTTTCTTGAGGCTTAGTTGTACATTAGTTACTTTCATTAGGATTGATAAAAATATAACTATTTTTTAAGTTTTCTTCATTACTTATTGTATAAAAACCTTTATGAATTACTTTATATATCTTATCCTTTTGTGTTTGTTTATGTTTGGCTTTAATAATAAAAAATGAGGAAATATAATAACATTAAAAAAGTTCCAAAAAAAAAATAAAAAGGATCCGCAGATTAATTATGTTGACAAGGCACAAAAATTTGCCAAAAAGGTAGAAGCATTGACAATGCGGAAACTGTTACAGGATATTCACTTGTACTTGGTTTTATTTACTTTTCTCATTTATTTTTATTTTTATTTTCTTTTTTATATGATGTCCCATTCCTACAGGTTGCAAAATATTATATTTAGTGAAACTTTATTATTAATGCTATGAACATTAACACATATTTGCACTATAGATAAGATTTTAATTTCACATGCAAAACTAAATCAATAATTGGCTTGCATCATAGAGTAGTTGCTTTCCACCTTCCTACCCTATGTCATTTCTAAATTAGAAATCTGTAAAATTAAGCTCGTATATATTTATTAGAGTTTGATCCCACTGACAATAGGATCGACAGCAACTCTTAGAATTTTTTAAATTTTTGAGTCATTACTCAGAATTCTGATTTTACACTCGACCTTGCAACTACATTCTTCTTCTTACTCCTCTAAGTGATCAAGTTACTCCAAAAAGAGATATAGTAACCTATGACAAACCTTCTATCTATTACTAACCTTCCATCCACATCCATAGAAGCAACACTTATCAAAGAAAAACTTGATAACAACTTAATATGTACGTCATATATGCCCATCAATTCTCAATTGGCAGACATATTAACTAAAGATATAAATAATTCAATGTTCCAAACTCTTATTAGCAAGTTGGAAACAGACAACATTTATTTCTCGGCTTGAAGAGAAGTAAAGAGAAGAAATCATAGTATTAAAGTGGAAGTAACTCTAGATATTAAAGATAAAGAAAATCATGATATTAAAAACTAAGTAACTCAATATGCTAAAGAGAAAATAAATCATGATATTAAAAAGGAAGAAAATCTGAGTTCAAAATATTAAATAAAGTAAGGTATTAAAAATGAAACAAATCAAATTAAAAGGTAAAATTATATTATTTGTAATTAATTGTCTATTTTCTTTGTTGTTCTATAAAATATGTATATATAGAGTTGTTATATTCAATGTAAAAAACAATTGGAAGAATATTTCAGTTCTTTTAATTCCAATAGATTAGGATATATATACACAGAAGAGTGATCTATAGATGGTAACAACATAAATTACCCTATTAATTTGTTGCCTATAATTATACTAATATATATGAGAAATCAACTAAATATACATGAGAATATTTTGTAATCTTATAACACTCCCTTCTAAACTAAAGCATAGATATTCATATCCAACTTGTTACGAAAATATTCAGTTCGAGTTCCATTTAGAGTGTTGGTGAATATATCACCTAATTGTTCCTATATTTTTACATAACCAGGAAAAATCAAATTTTCCTAATCTTATCACAGATAAAGTGAATCAATCTCAATATATTTGGTTTTTTCATTGTACACCGAATTAGAAGCAATATGAAGGGTGGTTTGATTATCACACCAGAGTTTAGCAAGTGATATTAGCTTAAAACCCACTTTAACTAAGAGGTGTTGCATCCATAAGACTTCACATGTGAATTGCATCATAACTCTGTATTCGGACTCTGCACTGAATCGGAACACAACAGTTTGCTTCTTACTTCTCCATAATATCAGATTCCCACCAACAAAAACATAATAGCTTGTAGTAGACCGTCTGTCAATTTTAGATACAGTCCAATCAATATCTGCAAAGTATTCAATGTGAGTATGTTCATTCTTGCTAAACAATATGTCAAGTCCCAGAGCACCCTTTAAGTAGTACAAAATCTATTTCAAAGCTTTCTAATGTTTAATTGTAGGTATAAACATAAACTGACTAGCAGCACTGACAGAATATACAACATTTGAACGAATCACAATGAGGTAATTCAGTCTCCCAACTAATTGTCTGTACTTTTCTGAATCATCAAAGGGGTCACTATCATCTTTTGTAAGATGTATATTTGATACCATTAGTGTGTTACATGACTTAAACTCCTAACTTTCCGATTTCTGTAAGTAAAACAAGTACATACTTCCTCTATGACAAAAAACCTATCTTGCTTCTTGTTATTTTTACTTTCAAGAAGTATTTTAGCTAATCCAAGATCTTTAGTGTGAAACTTGGTATGTAAGTAAAACAAGTACATACTTCCTCTAGGACAAAAAACCTATCTTGCTTCTTGTTACTTTTACTTTCAAGAAATATTTTAGCTAACCCAAGATCTTTAGTGTGAAACTTGGTATGTAAGTAAAACAAGTACATACTTCCTCTAGGACAAAAAACCTATCTTGCTTCTTGTACTTTACTTTCAAGAAATATTTAGCTAACCCAAGATCTTTAGTGTGAAACTTGGTATGTAAGAATAACTTGAAATAGGATATTCCCGTACAATCATCTTCTGTAATGATAATATCATTAACATAAATAATAAGTATAAGACCAGTTATTGATTGTCTATAAAAGACCGAGTGATCAAACTTCCCCTTCTTTAACCCATATTTCAAAACTACCACACTTAATTTACCAAACCACGCAGGAACTCTGCTTCAAATCATACGAAAAAATTTTCAAATGATAAACTTTCTCATACTCCTTCTGAACAATAAACTTAGGTGGTTGCTTCATATACACTTATTTTAAGAGATCGCCATGAAGGAATGTATTCTT